TATTTACCAGCCTGAAACTGGTATCTGATGGTTTTCACCTTGATCGATTAAAACCAGGAACTGGACGAGCAAATTTTAAAATTAGWTTTTTTTTCCTGTTTTTTAAACAATCAKTTCTGAAAAATCCAACATTTTCTTTGGTCCTTGAACGCACCATCAGCACAGGATGCAGAAACAAGGATGTAGTCTGTGCCTGGGTCCGTTTGGTCGAGCCACTTTCTCACTAGATTTAGCAGGTTTCAAACCCTACTAGTACCTTTTTGAACCAACTATAGTCAAATCTAGATTATGGTTCTGGTGTGTTTGGAGACTGCACGTGATAATCGTTCAGCAGACCCTCAGCGAGCAGCAGGTGAAACCCTCTCCTCCCCGTCCCAAAGCTCTGTTAGGAAAGAAGACACACTCTGTTCTCAGTTTTTTTTTTTTCTGTTTCGTTTCGGTGTTTTTTTATTTGTATTTTTTAATTTGTTTTCTGGTTCTGTAGCGTCAGGTCAGAGCTAAAATCTGAAACCAGAACTGGTGCATCTCCGCTCGTGTTTGACCGACTGATGATGAAGTCGTGACTCCATGACTGCAGAGTTTCTTCTTCTTTGGTTTTAATTCAACGACCGTCTCTGATCTTGTTTAAACCCTCCAGATCGTTCAGTTTGGCGTGCAGCCTGCACCCCGTGGACGGTCAGGGAGAGGTGGCGAGGATGATCACAGCTCTGACAGAGTCTCTGGTCCAGCCTCTGGACACYGAAGAAACAAGTCCTGAACCTAAATACAAACCTGAACCAGAGTCTCTGATCCAGCCTATGGAAATCCAAGAACCTGGTTCTGAACTTCAGTGCAAAGCTGAACCAGAACCTTTTGTGGAGTTGAAGCCGGAGGACATTAAAGAAGAACAGGTGGACCAGGAGCTNGTTTTATTATGGCAGCGCCGAAGGAAGCTCATCAGGGAAGAATCAGTTTGACAAGTTCAGTCGACCATTCCGCTGCCTTCACTGCGACAAGAATCTGCGCAACAACATCAAGTGAGATCTAACGTCAGCTGATTAATGCAGTGAACTGGGGACATTCCAGTTAGGTGACGTGCTTGAAGCTTTAAGTCTGAATGTTTGTTCTGTGTGCTGCAGGTTGATGGACCACGCGCAGGAACACATGTTGGAGATTATTCAGCAAAATAAATACAGAGACTCCGTGTCCCCCTGTCCCCACTGTTTCCGAAACTTTGCATCTCCGTTCAGGTTGCAGTGCCACATGGAGGTTGTTCACAGCCAGTACCAGTCAACAGGTTTGTAAACACGAAAATGCATCATTTGCAACTTGCCATATTTTCAGTAATTGTATTGAGAATATTAATAAGCACATGAAAACTTTAAACGTCAAAGTTTCTTCTTTTTTTTTTATGGTTTCCCGCAGTAACATGTAAGATCTGTGAGCTGTCTTTCGACACTGAGCCAGCCTTCATGTATCACATGAAGAACACTCACCACCCAGGAGAGATGCCGTATTCTTGTCAGGTCTGTAAGTGCCCAGAACAAGCCGCCACCTCCTCCTCAGTTTAACATGAACTCACCGAGCCGTTGTCTCGGCCCGCAGGTGTGTGACTTCCGCTCGTCCTTCTACTCCGACGTCTGGTCTCACTTCAGGACGGTTCACTCAGACACCAGGAACCTCATGTGTCCGTACTGCCTCCGAGTGCTGCGCCTTAGCGCCTGCTACCAGAAGCACATCATCCGCCACCAGGTTGATGCTCGCACCGCAGCTGGTCAGCGCCAGGAAGCGACGTCCCAAAACAAACCCTGAGTGTGTCTTTGTGTGTCTGTGTCYCCAGAAGAAACACGTGCTCAGCTGCAACAAGTGCCGTCTTCACTTCCTGTACATTAAAGACCGTATGGAACACAAAGAGCTGCATCACAAAACTCACGTCACGCCTCCTCAGCTCGTAGGACTCCCACCTGGAACTAAGGTATGTGTGTTTACAGATCCTACACCTACTTTCTCTGTCAAATATTTGATTGTAATACATGAGGTAAAACAAAATCTCTGCACCTTTACTGGAAAGTGTTTTTTTTGTGCAGGTAACGGTCCGGACGTACTCTGGGGTTGGAGGACCTGAAGGTGAAGATTCACCAGGGAAATCGTTTGTTCCGTGCAAGGTTAGTGTTAAAACAACCACTTAAAGTTGGAGTTGAGTTGAAGCGACATTCAAAGCAAAACAAAGTGTCAGGATAAGGAAGTTATTTTGTTTTGTTTAAACAAACTTCAGATCAATAATTACTGTATTTTCAATTTGTCTTGAAATCATCCATTTTTATGCATTTGACTCTAGATATTCTTTGGACTTTTGCTTGTACGCTCAGTTTTTGGTGTTTTTCATTTTGTGGCATCACTTAGTAAATATTTATTGTGTTTTTGTTGCATCAGTCTTGACATCAATTTTATCCTCCTTCTGTTGTTTTCAGGTGGTCGATGTTGCTCCGCCTYCCCCGCCACAGGAAACCATCCAAAGGAGACCGATTGAGAGTTTGGGGTCACTTCTGTCTGGACTGGAACCTGAAGGGTATAAATATTTGTTTCATAAATCTTTGGCTGTGTCCAAAACGGCAGGACGGGTCCTCCGAAGGTCGAATTTGTCGGCCGCATACGTCACAGCGCCGCGACGAAGGACGTCCAAAACCAAAGACTCCTCCGATGCGGCCGACAAATACGTCCTTCCTTTGGCCCGAATCGAAGGACAGGTCCACTTCGCTGCAGCATGCAGAATGGGGCGGGGACGGACCTTTCCGTCAGTCCCATACCTTATATAGAAA